TATAACAACACATCATGAATATACATAACGTTATCAAAAAATCATCAAACCGCCAAAAAGGAACAAATACTCAGATTTATCCCTCCACAATTTTAGGAACTAAACAAAATGGCATTTAATGAGAACCATCCTGAGACGCTACAAGGGTATAATAAGGGTTAGGATTATAAGGATAGGTGTGTAATCAAACCCTAAACATGTCTGCAAACAAAGAACAAAAAGTTGATAGCGGCCTGAGACGCAAACAGCATTTGTTCATGCTTGCTCGACCCGTATTGTTTCATACCTTACATCTCCACACGATATGGCTGTAAAATCGCATCTGAAGAAAAGATACATGAAGTGGAGAAAGGTTTCGTAATGACTACACACATAGCTGCTACATTTGACCCTATTTTTTACACACAGATTAATGGTTTTTGTATGTATGGTTCGCAGTAAACTGACACATACGTGCTGGCTTAATATACAGTCGAACTTCGTTACAACGTACCTTCAGGGACTTTAAGAATCAGTACGTTATAACGATAGTTCGTTGTAACCAATTCCCATAAAATAAACGCTAACGCAAGAATTAAAACATGAAAGTTTAAAGATAACACCTGTAACAAATTTGTCAACTTGGAGTAAAATAAAACAATGTAGTAAAGACACCCGTCTTTTGTTCGCGTTACTTGCACTCAACGAAATGAAAGAGCCCGCGGTAATTTCGCAAATGTCATGGATAAGTTTAAATGTTGCTGATGCCACTGAATCAGTTCGTTTACTTACAACTTGAAAAGGCAGTAATCTTCGTCTGCTTTGTCACTTAATTTACTGGCCACACACCCAAGAAGAGCGTCCCGTACGTTGTAACGAAGGCTAGTATGCATTTTTCCAGTAAATATTTAAACGTTGTATTGAAGTTTACGTTATAACGGTGTACGTTGTAAACGATACTGGCAAATGGAATAATGCACAAATTCGGGACTTGGAGATGTGTAAATTGTAACGGTGTAAACGTTATAAACAGGGTACGTAGCAACGAAGTACGACTGTAGCTATATAGTGTTATAGAATGTCTCTATTAATACACAATGCACTCGCTAGGTGGCGCTAGTAGATCACGCGCTCACTATTCTAACATTTCTAACTTTTAAATTATTACGGTTAGCAATGGCAGATGAAAGCAGGAAAGGAGACCGACCGGGTCCCATGCGAAATTCTAGAGCAACTCTATTTGCATCGCTATGGCAACGGCATTGCAGTAAAAGATTTATTTGATTACAAGTAGATCGCTGCCATGTAAAGTGTGCAAGTACTTCATTATTAAAACATAATCCAAGACAAATATATATAGCATGTAGAATTTTTTTTTTAATTACACGAAAGTCTATCATTCATTTATTTGAAAAATACATATTAATTTCATACCGGCAATTCATTAAGTACTTGTGATATCACAACAAGTGATAAATAAATAAATTAAATAATAAAAGTATGAATAAATGAATGAATAAATAAATAAATGTTATAGCTGTCCCGAAATTACCGTAAACACGGAGACGGCTCATTGACGGGTAATATTGTCTTTAATGCGTAAGACGTACACTTAACGATTAACTGAAAGATAATCATCAAGATTACTAAATACAAAGCATTCAGAAAATATCAGAAGTCACTATATAGAAATTAAGTTACCAGAGATAACATCAGACTTCGCTCATTTTAAACATCGGTACAATATCAAGACTATACGACAGGATGAATTACAATATACTTGGTGATAAGATCGAGCCAGACACTTGTCTATAACGACGATGACGACGGATTCGTACTGTTTTAACTTCCACCAACTGTATTTTCCCGCTTCATGGGAGCAGCCATTTTTTTTAACCACCAATCACCAGCAACCAATCACAGAACAATAAAGCCTTAGCTGTCCAAATGATAGAGGGCAGCACCTACTAAATGACAAGCAACCAACCACACAAAATTCCATTCAAACCATACTCCCTCTCCTCGATATGCTTGCTTATCGAGAAACAAAAGTTGAAAATAACAGGTTTTGATAGGTGCTGAGTTCTGATGACAACTAATACAGTTTACCGACGCCTCAAGTATGAACAAACTGATTGCTCGGTAGCCTACATGTGTCACATGAAATTAATTACAATGGTAATTATATGCAAGTATCATAATAAGCCTCCCGATAGCAACTAAGTTTATGATTCTTTCTAAATTCAAAGAAACAGAACAACAACTTTAGCGTTAAAATGGGAAATCACTATCTCCCTTCGACATCCACTATAAAGTATCTAGAAATATTCATTGCTAATCGTCTTACATGGAAGAATCACTTTACCTATATTTCGACAAAAATTGCAAGATAAACCGGTATTACATCTAAACTTAAACACTATATTCCACAAGATTTGCTTACTACTATATGTTATTCTCTGGTTTACCCCTATCTAGGATACGCAGTCTTAACATGGTGTACAGTCAACAGACTACACGGAAACCCTTACAAACAGCTCAAAACACAATTGCCAGACACATAAAATTGGCTCACTGGAGAGATCCTGCAACCCATTTGCTCAAACTAATCGACAACTAAAATTTTATAGTTAGGTGAATCATGACAGCTTTCCTCTGGGCTGACTTGCTTACCATAATGAACTTTCGCGGTTCTTCGCTGAGGGCGCTTGGCTCTCCCCAGCAACCCTACACAATTCGGATGTCGCAAGTAGCCTATTGATTTGACTGCTTAGCTGCATTCGACTGGGCATAACCTCGAAATCGAGGGGACATAAACGCTTTTGCCCGCTCGAACCGTTGCGACACGCACGTGGCCGTCCTTTTCGGGTGAACGTTGATGATTCTTCCAAGAGGCCACTGTCCTCTCGGAGTGTCGGGTGAGATCGCTAGAACCACGTCACCTACTTTGAAGTCGGTCTGAGGATGGCACCACTTCTTCCTCGCACTTAAACATGGTAGCCACTCCCGCATCCAGCGATGCCAGAAGTGGTTCCCTAGTTCCTGCACGCGACGCCACCGTTTTCGCACGTTAAATGGAGTCGTGTCGACAGACTCTGGCGCAAATTTTCCACCAACTTGCCCGTCCAAGAAGTGGTTCGGAGTTAGTGGCGTGTCGTCAGCAGGATGCGCTGTCTGATACGTCAGTGGTCGTGAGTTGAGTAACGCTTCAGCTCCGGTGAAAGCTGTCAACAGCTCCTCATCGTTGATGTCTGCGTTTTGAAGTATCGCGTGTATCGCTCGCTTGGCAGATTTAATCATCGTCTCGTGGACACCTCCGAAATGTGGTGTCAGGGCGGGTTATAATGCCATTTGACTGCGCCTGTGGCGGTCTGAACTTTCTCATGGTCGATCTGTGCTACTAAACTTCGTAGTTCGTTACATGCTCCTACAAAGTTGGTTCCGTTGTCGGAACTCATTTCTTCGGAAAGTCCTCGCCGGTTGACCATGCAAAAAAACGCATTCAAGAAACCATCCGTTTCAAGACTGTAGGCCATCTCGAGATGGACCGCGCGCGATTCCATACATGTCAAGAGGTATAGGTAACGTTTCGCACGCACATTTCCTCGTCCTTGTGTGGTGATAAATGGTCCACCATAGTCAACAGCTGACCGAGAGAACGCCCGCAATGAGCATCGTAGACGCATGCCTGGTAAAGGCGCCATTATCTGATATCCCGCTTTCGATTTACGCAATGTGCATTCGGCACATTCTTTCTCGCATTCTCGAATTGCTTCTCGGCCCGCGGTGATCCAGTATCGCGTGGATATTTCGGCCAATGTATGATTGGTTCCACTCGTGTTGAAACCGAGAGTGTGGTAATGCCTAACCACGAGTTGTGTGACCCAATGCTTACGTGGCAATATGAATGAGTGACGCACATCATAGGGCAGAAATTCCGCGTATTTTAATCTGCCGTACATTCGCATTATGCGATCGTCACCACGTTTCGAGGATAACCCGAGTATGCTGCTCCGGGTAGGCAACGGTCGATTGGCTGCCAAAGTGCGAATTTCTTCCGGGAATCCTTCTCTCTGTGCGTCGCGTAGAATTCGGAATTCGGCGTCCGATAACTCTGCTGGCGAAAGAGGTCCCGTTCGGCGCAATTCCTTCGGCAGGCGACAGTTTTCGATAAACTGCAGAACTAGCGCTGTCTGTTGTTTCAGTCGCAGCCAGCTAGAGAAACGGGTTGGGTTCAGACGTCATTCAGTGTTTGCAACGCTACGATCGCCATCACTATTCGGTTTCTCGTTATGCGATAGCGTATTAGCGACACAAGTCTTATGCTTTGTTTTTATCTCGCAGTCCGTTGCAATGTCTTCGAGTTGGCTTTATCGGCCAGAAGTCGCTATTTTGAAGCAGGAACTCTGGTCCTGACCACCAGATGTCGCGGTCTGCCAGCTTCGATACTGCCAATCCCTGGACGCAAGATCGGCAGGGTTCTGGTCAGTAGGTACGTGTCTCCACTGTCTGGGATTGGTTTCGCCTTGTATGAAACTGACTCGATTCGCTACGAATGGTTTGAACGCTCGACTGCAGTTTCGTATCCACCATAGCGCATTCATGCTGTCGGTCCAGAATGTGCACTGTTCAATCGGAACGTCGAGTGCACCAGTGATATGCCGTTCAAGTTTCACACTCAGAACGGCCGCCATTAATTCCAGTTGTGGAATACTCATGGCTGAGAGTGGAGCGACGTGAGTTTCAGACGCTACTATCCGGCATGATACGTCTCCGCTTTGATACATGTAGCGAGCGTATATGACTGAGCCGTAAGCATCCTCTGATGCATCGCCGAATGCATGCAAATCAACAGAGGCAACTAGTTGATTACTACCCAGGCGCAGGCACCTGGGTATTTTTACCTCACTTAGTTCAACAAGTTTACAAAACCACTGCTTTGCTTTGTTTGTCAACGCTTCGTCTATTGGGTGGTCCCAGTCGTAGCCGGACTCCCATATTTCTTGTATGAGGATTTTAGCTCAGATAACATACGGCGGAAGGAATCCAAGCAGGTCGAATATTGTCGCTACTTTACTAAGCACGTTTCTCTTGGTGAATCGAAATTCGCTGTCAGGTGGGCTGGGTTTTAATCCAAACATGTCACATTTGGACTCCCATAGCACACCCAGTGTTTTGACAGACTGTAAATGCCCTGCGTTGAGATCGATCTCTGTCGCTCTATCGTCCGGTGGGATGCTATCGAGTACTACGTGCGAGTTTGAGAGCCATTTTCGGGCACGCATGCCGGCGAGGCTCCACAACTGTGACAGCTGACTGCACAGTTCAATTGCGTCTGCTTCAGAGTCTACAGAGTCCATACTGTCATCCATATATGTCGATTTTAGCACCGTCTCTGCAGCCCGAGGATATTTGTTTCGTTTTTCCTGGCGTTTTCCTGTGCGACATACTGCGCTTAAAATGGGGAGGAGTTCAACCCGAACACAACGCGTGTAAACTCATACTCATCTGGTTCTCTCATTTGGTCCAAGTCACGCCACAAGAACCGGTGGAACCGACGATCCGCAAGAGCAAGTCCAACATTCAAGTACATCTTGGCGATGTCACAAGCCAAGGCAATCGGAGCTTTACGAAAGCGCAGTAACACATTCATCAAGTCATGTTGCAGTTTAGGACCTTGCAGTATCGTATCGTTCAGTGAGACGCCGTCCGACCGAGCAGCTGCATCAAAGACGATACGCGTCTTTGTTGTCGATTTGTCGGGACGTACGACAGCGAAGTGAGGCAGGTACCATGTCTTTTCCGGACTGGCCTCCGAATGGTGAATCTTTCTGATGTAAAGCCTTTTTTGAGGTACATAGCGAATGTCTCGGTGTACGATTTTGCAATGTCTGGTTGCCGTAGCAATCGCTTTTCGGTGCTTACGAGTCGATATACTGCCATTTTACGATTGTCAGTCAGCAGCTCAGGGTCATCTTGCTTCCACGGAATGGCTACGTGGTATCGGCCATCTTTGTAGTCTAAAGATTCGCTGATCGTTTTCAAAGCGACTCGGTCGCTAATACTCAAAGCTGATCGAGTTTCCTCTCCGCAATTTTCAAGCTGCCAAAACTGTCGAAACGTAGTGTTTACATCATCAATAATTGAGTTGACATTACCATGTGACCAGTACGTGTAGACAAAGTTCGTTCGTGTCTCGGCAGACCGATCATTCGGACAGCCGACACATGTCCACTCCAACGGTGTCAATCTAGCCATAGGCTGCTTCGGTTTTCCCGTAACTTCTCTCCGGGATGCGTGGGGATCTGCATAATCGATTCCGATCAGAATATCGAAGATTAGTCGTTTGCCGAGGCGCGGAAAATCAATGTCTTTCAAGTGCGGCAATTTAGCAGCATTTTGTCGCCAGTCTACGGTTCGCATATTTCCAGTTACTCGCTCTGTCGTGAACGCGCAGATTTCCAAGTCGACCGTTGGCGTTGTGACACTCTCTAATCGCAAGCGAACTGGCATCGTTTTGAAAGTTTCGACCTGGCCGTTCAGAACACTGACCTTCACCTTAGTGAGTGTTCCCTGTAAGCCTAGCTCAGCAGCAATGTCAGCATTGATATATGTCTTTGTGCTTCAGTCGTTAAGTAGGGCGTCTGCGCGTAACTTTTTATATCCGTGTTTCAGTATTACTGGAACGGTACGAAGAGTTACTTAGTCCACGGCAGGCTGCGTCACATCGGACACCACTGTGGTGTGAGTCTGCTCCCTCTCCGTGAGAGGTGCTTCTTCTGGCTGCTCGGGCAAAGACGATTCCGTGACGTCGATGTAAACGCAACCTTCGGTGTTGTGGTGGAGAATTGGCGATGTAGCAGTCTGTGGTGCGTTAATTTGCAGCTGTCGATACCGCACGTCCGACTACGGTTACAGTTGTTGCTGCGATGTGTGTCTCCTAAACATCGGAAACACAAGCCGTGCTGCTTAGCAGCATCCCAGCTCGGCTGTATGTCCATCTCTTTGAACTTATCGCAAGTCAATATGCCGTGGAACGCACAACAAACTGGACACGCTCTACGTCGATTACTATTGTTGATCCTATCACTGTTTGTGGTGAAGTGAGCATGATAGTAAATCGCTTTCGATTTTATCGGTGCTACGTAGCCTCACTTTTTATTGTCAGTCAATCCGGAAATCGTCTCATGAGCGATGATAGCGTTTCGACAGATTCAGGTTTGCGGCATTCGAAAACCCAGCGATGGTAACGCGCTAACATCGGCTCAGTCAGCTTCGTCTGAAGTTTTCTGTACAATGATCCGTTACCGAGTTTGGCGATACGACCTGCGTCTGTCAGGTTGACGACAGCGATATCGAGCAAGTCCGCCATCTTTTCTATGTCACGAGGCTGGTCGGCGCGCACTGGTCGGAAATTTTCTAGATATTCGAGATGAATCGCGATTTAGCGACGGTGACCGTCAAACTTTCGATCCAAGCGTTCTTTCACAACTTCGTAGGCCACAGCGGAGTGACCCAAATTCTCAATGACTTGAAGCACCTCACCCGATACGTATTGTCGTAACTGTAAAAGCTTATACTCCGGCGTGGCTGGAGCCTGGTCGATGCAAGACAAGAATGCTGCTTTTCAGCCTTCATACTGTCGTTTATCTTCAGAAAATACGGGGATCGACATGCGCTTAAGCAGCTTGCAGAGATCGCGTCCGATCGATACCGTTGCTGGTGGCTGCTGTTCAAAATTCTGTACCGAACCACTGTAGTCTGCGTCGACGCCCGGTTGTTGAACATTCGGTACGCCACTCAATTGCTGGTCTTAGAATGTTACAGTAGGCCTATGGTCAGCGGAACCAGGATGTTGGGCGGGCGACGAGACACTCAGCCTTTCAGACGATGTGACACTCTGCCTTGAGGATGATGCGGCGACACTCGCCTTCGACGATGCATCATCCTTGCGCGACTCCAGATAGTCATGTGCATGCTGACGTGCTTCGGAATACTCCTTCTCTAATGTCTCTAGCTCGCCAGTTGCTTTGTCAAGATTGGCTATATCGGTCTGCTGCTTGAAAACCGACCATAGCTGGTAGATTGCTTTCATAGTATTTTCTTGTGCTTCGTCTAAGGCATTGCATGCTGACCTTACCTCTCGACGACTGGGTAGGACTTGATCAACAAGCGGCTCTATAAGCTTGTGCCTCGATTTGGTGAAAGCACATTTCACAGCGGATTTTTGTTGTTTCATTTGCGAAATGTCTGGCCCAGTCCCAACCACATTACCTGGAGTTTCTGACGAATCTACACCCTCCATGACGCCTAAAGTTCTTGAGAACTACCCTCTGCTACCAATATGGTGAAAAAGATGGCTGCTACCATGAAGCGGGAAAATAAAGTTGGTTGAAGTTAAAACAGTACGAATCCGTCGTCAGCGTCGTTATAGACAAGTGTCTGGGTCGATCTTATCACCAAAAGTTACAATTTAGTTACATGCTTACGAAACAAATTACAAGATTATAAATTAATTTGTAAAATCTTAAATCAATTTACGAAAGGACAAATCGAGTCACATATTAGTCATGTATCTACAAATCAATTTATAAAAACTACAATTTATTTACATGTTTGAGAATCAATTTACAAAAAATACATTTTATTTATATATGCATGTTTGTATATTATGTATATATTTTTATTTACATACCTGCAAACAGTTTTACTTACTTCGTAATCACATTACCTACTCTCAAATGAATTTACAAAAGTCTCAATTGATTTACATAACAAAGAATCAGCTTATTCACTTCCAACCCAACTTACAGCTTTCCAAATGAACTTACGTGCGCGCGAATAGCTCCTCCTATGAGGTGAAAGTTTAAATCAATTTACCAACTTCCAAATGATAAAACTCCAAATGATGAATGTAACTTCGAATGGTGAAACTTCGAATGAACAGAGCATCCCGCATCCGACGCGCCATCTAGCGTGTGTTTCTATCTTGTATCTTATTCTTAGGTCCTTCTCTTGTCGTTCACAAGGCACTCTAATGCAGGTGCGGGAATTATTTAAAGAAACAGGAAATTATGTCTACCTCCAGTTCTTTAGATATTAATACTTCGAATTGACAATATCTTTCGTACATATTCTACTGCTGGTTTGAGTAACCCTGTGTAGTCCCCTCCCCAGTCTTCATTTGTTTGCTGTCCTTATATCCTATGTTCCAATTTCTCTTTCATATTGTTATTGCATAAATTGCACCGATCATCACCGAAGTACATGCTATGCGTAAGTGTGTGTTAAACAGTTTACCGTATCGTGCGATGTTTGTTTACAAATTACAGCTTTAGACTGCAGAGTAGTGTTGCCCAAAGAGCTATATTATTATACACATGATATGTTACAATAATATAGTTCCTTGGACACGCAGCTAGGGCCTGCATACTTCGCAAATTGATGCGTCGTTGACCGACCAATCGGAGCGCTCGCAACTCAGGCACTAAAGCTGATAAATATAAAGCTAAACCCTAACCCTAACCCTAACCCTAACCCTAACCCTTACCAGTGACTATGCATCCACTCACGATAGCCAGCTTAAATAATGCAACCACAAAACATTGCATCAGCTTTAGTGCTTGAGCTGCGAGCGCTCCGATTGGTCGCTCGACGACGCATCACTTTTGGAGGAGCTGCGAGCACTCCGATTGGTCAGTCGACGACGCGTCACTTTGGGAGGTATGCAGGCCCTAGCTGCGAGTAATCTTTGGTGTTGCCAAGCACCACCGACCACAGATTAGCGAGTAGAATAACTTCTACTCGCTAAGCTGTGTCTAGACTTTTCACACTAACTAAGGTGGGTAAACCCTTCAAACGTAGTGATAGTGTAATGACTATAGTCTGCCGTAGTACTACAAGTACTAGTAGTCAGTGGTGTAGTGACACGTCACTGACTTAGTCGTATATAGGAATAACACTATTTCCTATTGACAGACATGCGTTTTCAAAATCGATGCTTGCTTTTATAAGCTTGAAAAAATCCGCGCCTATAATCACTTGTGATGGTAACCCATTGATAATATACATGGTACATTTAGACGTAACTCTGCCTATTGTAATGGGTATGGTGACGCTTTTTTTAACTTATAAACGCTGCCCTGTGACCGATTGCAAGTCCGCTTTAACTGCACTACCGAAATTCGCAGTATCTGTAACACGCTCTGGCAGTCTTTGCCAAACCGCTTCATCTAAAAGAGTACAGTCAGATCCCGTATCTATTAGTGCCGTAAGTGTAATCCCGGATATATACTCGAATGTCGCAGCATGGCGTTGCGGTGAACGATCTATCAACCGTGGGTGACAGTACGCTTAACCCGAATTTGTCACTATGAACGTGATGATTGCGTATACATCGGCATTCATAAGCGAAGTGACCCAGTGTTCTGTACGGTCGCGATTCGCCCTGTGAACGTAACCGTAGAACGTTTTTATGAAGCATGTCTCTGCCTATCTCAGCCTTACGTCTAATCTCATTAGTGCCTGTAGTGGTCTGCATCTTGCGTATCGAAAGTTCTCGTTCCAAAACTGATTGTCTCACAGCTAAATCAATTGCGTCCTGTAATTTGCATACTTTATGTGACAATAATAGCTTCTGTATAGCTACGCTGTTCAGTCCGTCTACAAAATATGTCCGTAAGGCGTTTCTGAATTAATTCCTGATTCATTTGGTGTGGGGGAATCGCTATTTCCGCTAGACGTATTAGACGATCTGTATAAGTTCGTATTTCCTCCCGTTGATTTTGACGGAATCTGTTTAACTGTCTATCTGCTATTAACCCATGCAACGGGTCTCTAAACCATGAGCATAGGGCTTTATAGAAACTCGTCCAATAAATTTCGGGAGTCTCCGTGAGTAGACGGCGCGTAAAGTAAGCAGCAGGTCCGTGCAATGTGCTTATAGCAAAATTCATGAGCTCGCTATCAGATAATTTTAATTGAATTTTAAACCATGTTAAAGCCGCTTGCCATTGCATAAAGCTAGGTCCAAATTTATGTTCCTGGAGTTCTTCCACCGAAAATTTCGGCATTTCTCGACGCAATTCCGAAATCCGTGTGCTATGAGCAAAACAGTTTACCACACTGTCAAGTGATGGCTTAACTCCTTCAATAAAAGCACGTGCCATCGTTTCTATCGGTAAACTAGTCATGGCTAACGTAATAAAATAATAGAATGTTGATGGTGTGGTGGAGGGAACAGCGGTAGTTATAGGTGGAGAAGTGATAAGTGCTTTAATATTTCGCTAAGTAATACGCTCGTACCTTTAAAAGTGGTTTGAAAGCTATCACTTCAACTTTAATAACGAAATCTATTTATGCCGACACAAGAATTTGGTTCACTCACAACGTCTTTGTTAACGCTTTGTTGAGCTTGATCTTGAGAATTTTGAAGCGCGTTCCCGATCTCTAGTAATCTATCAAGTGTCTCGCTGTCTCTGCAGCTTGCTTGCTTGCTTGCTTGTTCGCTCTCTGGTTGTCCCTCCCAACGGTGTCATATCAATACTTCAGCGCGGTGTACATCGCATCATCCCAGCGTCGTTACGTAAGACAGTATGCCTGCGTTTGCTGCCACGGTAGCCAGGTCGTAAACTTGAGAATGTTCTGGCTTAGCTACATGCGTTATTAGCAGCATCGTAGCATTTCACGTATGCCCGCAGCACGAATAAGTATCTGCCGGATCTGCCAAGCATCTCAATGTTGATTTCTTCTTTCTTTCTCTTCTTCTTCATCATATTCTTCTTCTTCTTCTTCTTGCGTTGTCTTTACTCAGTTTTCGGCGCGTGCATCATACACGGTAGATTCGTCTTCTTGCGTTGTGTTGCAAAGGAATACTCAGTTCTTGTGGTCCGGCACCAAATGTAGACCTGGTATCTCGTCGTTACTCTAACTCGTCGGTCAGTGATCGTAGCCAGTGATGATCGAAGAGGTTTTGTATATTATATATGATATAGACGTCTTTATTTGAATGTATATGTTGCAACGTACATGAGCGGGTTTGTTCGCCCAGTGGCACCCCCGAATCCCCGGCGCGGCCCCCCTTATATGCGGCCGCGCTTGTTGTCCGACCTCCCGACCTGTCCAGCTTCGCCGGACTACCCCCATGCTTTCTCGTATTACCCCCATGCTGCGTCGAGCACACCGACTCTGATCGTCGTCTCCTCATATATATCGCGCTGGCTTGTCGCCAACGCCATCCGTTCAGTATCGCCTCTATCTAGCCGTAATTAATACACGCCGCTTATTACGACGTAACCTCATCTCCCGTGCTTGTGGCGCAATAACAATTCTCGTCGCCACAGTTTGACTTTTGCCGGTTGCCGTGTACGGAGAAAGCCAGCGATTATTTTGTATTGCGTGTTCTGCTCGCGCCACCATCAGCCAATGGACAACAAGCACATGCACAAAATCAATGTATTTTTTCCAGCACAACGGCGCTGCGTTTTGCTGTGTCGTGTCGTCCCGCGTGTGCGGAGACATAGCTTTATCGCTCTTGAGACACCTTACGCATGTTCATGTTTAAATTATACCAGTGATATTGACATTACTAGTCTATATTAAAATTAATTATGAAAAAAGTAATTGTTAAGTATGGTAAGTCAATTATGCATAGTAGGTGGTTTTCAATAGATATGTGAAGTGTAATTGAAAACATTAATATCAACACAATACATTTACACACGACCACAAAGATACAATAGTAACATGCAGGTACTTTTTAAGTCGAAAAAAATCGACTTCCGCGTAAGTCAAATTTTTTCCTCCAGTCTCGTTGGATTAAACGTAGGCGAGGTCGACTGTAGATGTGAATGATAGGGCAGAGGCAATGCGAGTTATTATGAGAAAAAATTCTACCTAATCAAAAGCGACTTTAAGCAGTTCGAACTGTTTGTTTATGTTCATATGTTACATGACAGTAACCGTTAAAACATTCTTAGTTGCTTAGAAGCATGTGATTGCGCTGGATCTCGCCTCTTCCGTAGAAGATTTTACAGCCATAGTTGAAAGCGATACTGATGTGTCAGTTGCTTCACAAACGCTAATTTTCAAAGGTATGTACATGTGCACCTGCAACGTGTCATTGCTAAATTTGCATGTGGTACCTAAACGATGCATATTTTACCAGAAAAAAATACCAGCTGAAATATTGCAATAATTTTTATTATTGTTATCCGAGCTGTGAATTGGTCGTAAAGCTATTGCATCTAACACATTTCCTTATTGCAGTATATTTAGGAAGTGCTTTGCAATAATTTGCGTTGAATTTCAGGTAAGATCCTACAGTCAGTCAACACATTGGAAGCATCAGGAGTTTGTGATGGTTTAAATATAATGCTGATAGGCCGGAAAGTATGTTACTGTAAACAACATGTAATCATAGAGTTCATTGCTATTCATATACTACTAAAGACTATGCTATTTCTGAATTGTCTCTTATTCGATTTTAATCAAAATGTAAATTGATCTGATCTTTAATTAAATCACCTCTTAAAAAAGGGCACGGCCACTAGTGGCAGTAAACAACGTGATTTTGAGAGGGGCTTCACGGCAAGTGAGTGGGGCATCAGGGCAAATCGCTGCACTGGCGCCGTGTAATTCGAGCGCTGATGTAAATGAGTTAAGCTAATGTATATACCGAAGCACAGCTAAGGATGACACATTTTTTTCTCTGGCAGCATAGTGCGGAACAAGAAATACAAATGAAGGAGATTGAAAAGGTTGAAAAGCACACCGATGTGCTGGAGAACTGGTTGCTCGAACAAGAAAAAAAAGTCGATGGCATAGAGAAGGTATGCTATGGATGTCTCTTTAAATTGTTATACGGTGTGCCACAGGCTTGCAATTTTTTATTCTCAGCAACCACTTTAATTCTAACTCACATATATATATATATATATGTATATATACATATATATATATATATATATATGTGTGTGTTTGTATGTGTATATTATTTTTTATGCATATGTATATGTATATATTATATTTTTTGTATATAGAAACACATATATATATATACACTGCTATATATATAAAATCAGTATATTGTGTTAGTGTAGCGTGTATTTCTGCGTTGTTCGCCCGCTGCCAGGGTTGCAAAAGCATGTTAAAGCAGGAGGCCCTCGAGCTGCTGAAGCGGGCGCCAGACGCCACCTATCAATTCCAGCGAATATACGTGAAACTCGACGCGCTGGAGACAGAAACCGAGCACCAGTATGTCAGGCTGCACCAGTAGCAGGGATGCATTGAAGAAGGCCTAACCGAATGTGACTGCTGGGCGGACCAGACTATGGGACATCTCCTGAAATGGCGACCTAGAGACCTTAAGGTTTTCAACCACCGTGCAAGGTCCTGTGTTCTGCATTGGCTAGGTCGAGTGTAGTGTAGTGGCCCGAGAAGAAGAAGAAGAGTAGCGGGAAAACGAAGAATCTGTGCAAGTTGCTGTGATTGAATTGGCTTTGCTATTTGCACTATTAGAACATGGCATTGTAACTTGCACTGTCAGAACATGGCGTTGTCATATGCACTGTTTAGAAAAATTTCAGTACAGTTTTCTCTTGCTCTTATTAAAAATGCAGCACTGTGTTTCCACACTCGCCGATATATATTGGAGTACGGGGAATTATTACTTATATCTGCTATGTCCATATAGCAAATTTTAACTTTCTCTTTTTTTGAAAAAACTTCAACAAAAAATTCATCAGTGAGAGGAAAAATTACAGCGGTTATTATTGTAATGAAGCAAATTTAGACCGGCAGATTCGGTCTCAGGGACTCGTCGCGGGCAACCGATTGTAATGTTTGCTATTATCGTACTATCATGAATCGTATAGTGGTACGCGTCGGTGTTATCAACAGTGCTAAAGACGAGATTTGAAGTTTTCTACAAGATACAAATTAAGCGTAGGATCAAACGCATGTAATAATATTACATGGTATTATGGTTACTTGATGGTGTTGAAGGAGATAGGGAACACGATGTTTTGCGTCAGATTGAAGCATCTCAATAAACCCGCGCATCATAATTGTAACACTACTGAAAATAAAGCACAAATCATAGCTCACCGATAGAATCAATGTGTCGCTTTAAACTTTTTGTTAACAATTATTCAGTTGCGGCTCGATGATGTATTTTATGATGCAGTCTAACAGGTACCGCTCATGGGCAAAACACAAACACCCAATTTTTATGCGATATGCTAGTTGCTGGAAGACTAAGCAGCAAAGAAGCCAGCATGGATAGTAATTTCTCTTACCGAATGTGAGCAGGCCTAACCCGCAGACGATTGTTAGAATGAAGCGCGCCACCTCTTCGTCTGTCCGTGTGCGAGTGGACAATGATAATGATGTATACTCTCCGCTGGAAAGGTTGCCCCGTTCCCCTCCGCTTCCAGTTCGAAACTAACCGTTGCCCCGTGCGTGAACGAAGTTTGGCATCACAATTGTATTTCTCTCGTGGCGTAATCAATAAGTGAAGTTGTTACGAGTGGACGCCTGACTACATCTATATCTCCCTCTATCTCTCCCTCTCTCTCTCTCTCTCTCTCTCTCTCTCTCTCTCTATATATATATATATATATATAATATATATATATATATATATATATATATTATATACGACGACTGCACAATGGACATGCAATGTGTGAACTCGTCATCAAATTAAAAGGGATTGATGACTCCCGTCCGTCCAATAGCATTAGAAAGCAAATATAACGTATAATATTATAACGTCGAACAACTGTGATAACCCGTTCGCACCCATAACCGTTTTACAGTCTCCCGTACTCACGACAAGGGGTTTACCCAAGCTTATAAAGCTATTTCGCTATATGAAAAACAAATGATGCATAATTGGAAGATGTGTGTAAAGATGCTAAATGCATGATTAGTGTTCCTGTCTCCTGTCGTATTAATTGTATTTTGCATTCTCGTGACGTATTCAATGACACGCGATGATTCAATGGGAGGGGGCGTGATAAACTACGGGAACTACCTGGCTTATGTACATACAATCGATTAGACACGCACACGCAAACACACGCGCCAGCCCGCGCAAAAACACACGTACACACGCGCGCACACATACGTACACATACGCACGCACATGCACATACACAAACACGCACAAACACACACAAACGCACACACACACACACACACACAGTCACGCACACGCACACACGTGGATAAAATTTCGTTCCCACACACTGTCAGCTTGGCGTTGCAGTTGACAGGAAACAAAAATGGGAGGAGGAAGAAGGAAATATGTGCGTGGGGGGACTGAGGAGAGAAAATAAAGACCACCTTTAATTTGAGGAGATAATGAGAATCGAGAAAGAGACAGGAGGGAGACTGTGGTCGGCAGAAGTTGAGCTTTGTTTGCATTGTTCTTCAATTTTTCTATTGGCGTCAGCGCAAAAACATACTATATGTCCTTTTGGCTTACGTTCAGAGGAGCGGTATCGATGGCAAGAGGGTATATAGTCGTCTCTGTCGTCTTTCATCGAACGCGAATTCTTTATTTATCAGGTAATTTACGCAAATTTGTCACCATCTCATTCGCCCAGCTTCATTGTCTATCCGCGACCTCCATTTCACCTCCCTCTCTAGATTCGCTCACTCTGCCAGCATATGCTCCCACCTAATTTAGAATTTTTTTCTTCGATCCCTCCACTCGACGTTCCCATTCTAATATTCATGGCGCCAGGACAGCGTTGCGCAGCTACCCACCA